ATATAGCGGTCATTTCTAAATCACGCATTGCACAATTTGCAATTTTTTGACATCTTCCAACCCTCTAGTTGCAAATAATAAATTAAATCAATAAATCGATTGTTGATTCATTAATTTCTAACTTAAATTGAAATTACCAAGATTCTAACACCCTGACCTATTATTTGTGGGCAAGTTTATGGCGGCGCGGCGTGCTGCCAGCTTGAAACGCACTTTGGCGCCTACAAACCTAATGGGATACTTCAAGCATTGCACAATGCGTGGAGTAGCCCTTTAGGTTTGTAGGCGTCAGTGCGCGCTTTGCGCCGGCAGCACGCAGCGGCGTCGGCGCTCCCAGCGGGCGAGTGGTGAACAACTACTGACGGGGAGAGCTCCCTGGCGCTGGCGCTGGCGGAGAAACTCGCATATTGTATAATTTTTTTTTTATGAATTTTTGTTTTAGTTTTCGACTTGTAAACTTTCACACTGGTCGTGTGAAGTAATTAGTGAACTCTCAACACTGGATGAAGTGTAATAATGAAAGGCGGGTCGTGCGCCATGCACGCTGTTAACGACGCAGGGCGGAGTAGATGTAGAATCAAATAAATTTTGCTCTTGGAGCCATCGTTTTTTAAAAATGTGACTTTAGTTATTTTAAGACTTTAGCATGTTTTCTGAAGTTCTCATACTCTTGGAAAGTCGATTTTAATAGTGGTCAATCTTCGTTCTCAACAGAAAATTTTTTTTGGCCTCTTACATCACTGGAAGTTAAATTTTTTGTTCGTGCGTAGACCAACTAAACAGGCTTGTTTTTCTATCAATACGTGCGATAATAATACCGTTTAAAGTTTTTTTGCACTCATAGAGCTATATTCTTGCAGAAGAATAAACCAAAATATCCTTCAAAGTTTTTAATTTCAAAATTTAGCCCCCAAATTGCTCTAAAGTCTGATTTCTAGAATTCTGCGACATCATTTGTCTCCTAAAAAAAACAGGAAATGTAATTAAACGCTTAATTTTAATTAATTTCTTTAGAACTAACTCAGAAGATGTGGTAGACAACTTTTTTAAAGAATTTCTTACAGGTTTGCTCTTTTTAAAGTTACAAATTGTACAATTTTTTGCTGGTCTACGGTACAGGATAATACGGTACAGGTACGGTAACGTTACGGTACAGACAAACGGGCTACGGTAAGGACGAAGATGCATCCGTAAATATTACTGTATACAAGGGCCGAATTATAAAGAACTGAAATTCATTGGGGAATAAACTGCTAAGTTATAGCATAGCTTATAAGTGCCTATTTTATAAGTAATTACAGACAATAAAGGTAAAAAGAGTAAGTAAATCAGTTTTTCAAAAATAATGCACTGCTTTTGCATTAAATAATTAGGGACAAATCTTAGAAGCTGAGTTTTTAAAACAAGCTTGACAACGTTAGAACGTTTTAGGTGAACTTTTACAAAAAAAAAAAGAAGGAAAACAAAAAGGTAACTTTATCAAAAATGTGGTCACAAATCACCTTAAATAAATATTTAAAGGACAATAAGAAAAATAAGTTAGATATTAAGGAATAAATATTAAACGAATAAATTGCTATGAACTTCAGACGAAAAAGTGGAATCAAAGTTCTAAAAGAAAAAATGAAAAAAAATAAAAAGATGGCGATCCTTATGCAATCATCGAAAGAAAAGCCTCCTTCTTCTAAGTCGTACTAAAAAAAATACGTCTCTCTCTTTTTTTTTTTTTTTTTTTTTTTTTTTTTTTTAAATTCCAAATTTTTATGATAGATAAAATAAAGTAGAAAAGGATGATCTATCAAACAGCGCACCGATTTTTGGACGACTTTCGCATTTTGTCCGTACTTACCGTAGACCCGGCCGCATCGCGCGTGAGCTACGGGCTACGGTAGGGATGGCTACGGGCTTCGGTACGGACGGCTACGGTGCGGACAAATCGTGTGATTATTGGCAACGGTGCTGGGCCATATTCACGCATGTGTGAAATTCTGGATTTGAGGTCAAGATATCAGAGCTTATCAAAACATACCAAAATTCGAAAGTTTGAAGTGATTTATGCATTAAAAAGGTAGGTATACGGTAAGCACGTCCTAGATGCTCGTTAAACCTAGAAACTCACAAAAAACGGTCAAAATTTACTGTTTCATTGCGGTTTTTTTCCTCTGCTCGGCCTTAGCGTGTGATAGTCACGAAAATACAAAAAAAGTAAACAAAGTTCTTCATTGCTGCACTCTAACGGACGAAATGATGCTGAAAACAGGGGGCTACGGTGCAGGACGCGAATCTCGGTGACGCGGCTGCTTGACGCAGAGACGGTCAATATTTGCACTTATTTGGATGAATGAAACTGAAAATAATAACTTATGTACCAGTTGAGTGTGGATTTACAGCAGAAGTGGAAGTATTTAGATGCAAGATAATGGTTATGAAGCGTTGAAGTTGCGCACTTGAGTCGGAGACAGGCTACGGTACAGGACATTTCAGCTGTTTAGGGCCAAAATTCTGATATTAAATGGCAAAAACTGCCTAAAACGATGGTAAAATTTGATTTAGCGTAATATTTTGAACAAATTTAAAAAAAAGGTCAGATTTATCCATTCTGAAGGGCTAAAAAGTCGGCAGACATGGTAGAGCAAAACTTATTTGATTCTAGTTGGCGGCTCATGAAATCCTCCCCTGTGCTCTGCCGTGGTACCAATATTAGTGAACGTATTTAATTGAACTTGGTGAATAGTTGCGACACAAACGAACTGACAATGAGTTCATTGCGGATATTTTTATCTATGTCACTGGCCGATTAGAAGGAATCATTAATAGCTAACGCGGATCGGGTGTGTTCGGGATTCGGCTCGCTTCATTCTCCATGTAAATTAGCTTGAAAGCTCCAAGTTTATCCCCCAAAAAAAGCTCGTGCAAATGCGAATGTTGTTCATACCCTTAATGGATTGGAAAAAATCGGTACCCCATGCTTCTCAGGAAGGTGCTCCGGGAAATTTTGTCAGATGCATCGAGTGGTGCAGTGTAACGTCGAGACGTATGCTGCCATGCTAAGGAAAAACACCGTATGAACATTCTAGAGTTGCCTAATTTCCCCGGATGAAATATGTATTTTTGAGAACAATTATGCGTATTTTTCCTTAAAATTTTCAGACACTTAAGACAAAATTGCGAACAAAATTGTCTGAAAAATTGAAGGGAAAAATCCATGCTAACCCCGGTAATTTAGGGCTATATTGAAGGAAACACAGCAACGTCTGAAGGTTAATACGGCGTTCTTCCGTAGCACGGCAGTATGCTCCTCCGTCTGAATTTTCTATAAGTCGAATTGCAGGCTTCTCCTGTGCCGTGGTGTCAATTTTTAGTCGCACGATCGACTGGTTGTCTCTCAAAAACGAAAAAAAATGGCAGTGAAGAGTGGAGGGTGTGCATGATAAAATCCGTCACTTACCTTATTGCGGAAGTTTTCGGCAGCATTCGTTGTTGCAACGGCAAGTTCACGCGGACCTCCTTATTACTCTCAGAGCAAAATTCTGTCCGAGCCGCAAGCGCCCGGGGTCTTCTTGTCACTGGGCGAGCTGGAAAGGGCTGCGCCCCCCCCCCCCCCCNGCAGATTGCGAGCGGCCCAAACGAAATTGGGCCGATGTAAAATCGATCGTTGAAACAAGCCGTTTAAAAAATCTGTATCGTCGGTGTAAGTCGGCAATTACATAATTCGTTTGCGGTGTCTGGAAACCTCCGCGTCTATACTATTTTTTAAAGGAGAACAAATTGACATCATTTCTCGAAGTTTTTGCAGGATTTTCTTCGCATATAGAGAAGAAAAATCACGGCAGTGCCGTCGAGTAGTTTTTCGTTAAAGAAATAAAGTCCCATAGGAAGTCTGCGACGTCGCAAACCGAGTTTTATGTGATTGCCGACTTACACCGTCGATATGGCAGATGAAGCTTTTACCTGGACGTATTTCTGTTAAACGGAACTGAGCGCCAAATAGAGTTACTTTTGAGGATTTTAGAATCCCGGATAGCGCGTTCTGTCAAACGGAACTAAGCGCCATATCTAAGCGAGTATAGGACGGAACGAGCGTCGCGTTCCGCAACACCCGCAAATCCAAGCCCCCCCCCCCCCCCCC